GCCACGTGACTGCCCACGAGAGAGGACAGTGGCCTCAGGCCAAGCCTGTATCCTCGCAACCACTGTCGTACTGGCACTGGCTTCTGTGTGTACTTGGTAGAAATTTCTGGAAAACGTGTGTAGGGAAGAGAAGGCTATTCCTGGCAGAAAGCCTTCCCTCCAGGAGCAGCGGTGGGATCTCAGCACTGGCCGGCTATTCCCCCGCTGTCTGCCCCACTCTGTGATCACCCAGGATCTATGTCACCGAGGCCACAGAATGGCACGTGCCGGGCAGACGTAGGGTCATAACGGACGGTCATTGTGGCATCTTTGTCTGTTTCCGTAGAAGAGCGAGTTCAGCCAGGGTGAGGGGAACTATCTTTATTGCGTATTTCCCTAAAGGTTTATGATTTATGGATGAGGAAACCGGGGTTCAGAGGGGTTCAGTTGGGGAAGGGAAGACCGCTGGGCCAGATCTGGTGGGGCTGGTGACGGGGATGTGTGTCGTTCGACTTCTGAGGCTCATGCTCCGCGAAACTTCTGCAGTTTGGCCAGGAAGACGGCCCTTGTTTCAAAAGTTCAACTTATGGTGGGGCGCCTGGGTGGCTCAGTTGGTTAAGCATCTGACTTTGGCTCAGGTCATGATCTGGAGCCCTACATCGGTCTCTGTGCTGACTGCTCAGAGCCCGGAGCCTGCTTCACACTCTCTGTGCGTCTCTCTCTCTCGGTCTCTGCCCCTCCCCTGCTCACACTGTGTTTCTCTCTCAAAAATAAACAAACATTAAAAAAAAAAAAAAAAAGTACAACTTGTGCCCTAAACTTTGGTTTAGAAGGACATGTCCCCAGGAAGTTCTGTCAGTACACCTGTATCTTTTTTTTAAGTTTATTTATTTATTTTGAGAGAGAAAGAGAGAGCAGGCATGGGGGAGGTACAGAGAGAGAGAGGGAGAGAGAGAATCCCAAGCAGGCCCCTCGCTTTCAGCACAGAGCCCGATGTGGGGCTCGATCCCATGAACTGAGCCAAAGTCAAGAGTTGAGTGCTTAACCGCCTGAGCCCCCCAGGCACCCCAGTCAGTACGCCTTTAAAAGGGAGGGTTCAAAGCAGGGATTTGCTCTGATGGGCCCTCACAGCTGTTCACACATCTGTCTGAGTGTTCCACAGATTTCTTCCGCCCAGAATCTACTGAGCCGTCGTTTTTGTCTTTCCTTCCTCATCCTTCTGCCTCCCGCTTTCTCCCTGGGTCCTTTTATTCTCAGATTTCAGTGGACATTCTCAGAAGGATGTAATTCTTTAGTGTCGTTGAAGTGAACGTTGTGATCACATCTACCGAGACGGGTTTCAGATCACGCGATAGGAATCTACATTCTGCATCTCCCATAAGTAAGTCCCTGTGGGCCTCCGTCTACATGTGATGAGTTGTATCCGTATCAATCTCGACAGGAGCAGGACTGTAAGTTCTGCAAAACCCACGTGCTCACCCTCCTCGTGGCAGCAGGTCAGGATCTCTCAGATTTGTCAGTGGTTCTTGCTGTACGTGGTTGTCTGCTCTCTTTGCCTCAAAGATGCATGAGAGCCCGCCCGCCCGCCCGCCCTCCCTCCCTTCCTTCCTTCCTTCCTTCCTTCCTTCCCTCCCTCCTTCCTCCCTCCCTCCCTTCCTCCCTTCCTTCCTTCCTTCCTTCCTTCCTTCCTTCCTTCCTTCCTCCGTTCCTTCTTTCTTTCCTTCCTTCCCTCCTTCCCTCCTTCCTCCCCTCCCCTCCCCTCCCCTCCCCCCCAAGCGCTCTAGCTGTGATGTTGTAGCTGGGACTCTCCCGCCTGTAATAGAAGGTTTTGCCCATGAGACCTAACTGGGAAAAGTGCCTCAGTGATGGGGTTTTCAGGCCTGGTTTTCCAATCAAATGGCACTTTGTCTCCGTAGAAGTTGAGGGTTTCAGGCCCCTTCATCCTAGGTAAGGGGTCAGACTGAGTCTGAAGTAGTGAAATGTGTTCTCCATGCGTCTTGTAAAACTTGTTTGGTTTATTCATCTGCCCCTTTCCCTGGAGCCGGTCTCTCACCCACGAATGGTTAAGCTAACCCGGTGAATGACAGGTGCAGCTTGAAGAGGAAGAGACAGGCTGGAAATTGACCTGATACCTAGATGGGACCTTGTTAAGTGTGGGTTTTTTTTTTTTTTTTTTCCCTAGAAGAAGTTCATGGTGAGGGTCTTCTAGGTAATCGGGTTTTATTTTATTTATTTATTTTTTTTAATTTTTTTTTCAACGTTTTTATTTATTTTTGGGACAGAGAGAGACAGAGCATGAACGGGGGAGGGGCAGAGAGAGAGGGAGACACAGAATCAGAAACAGGCTCCAGGCTCTGAGCCATCAGCCCAGAGCCCGACGCGGGGCTCGAACTCCCGGACCGCGAGATGGTGACCTGGCTGAAGTCGGACGCTTAACCGACTGCGCCACCCAGGCGCCCCTGTAATCGGGTTTTAGAATGAACATTTTCAAGTGATCTCTGGAACTGTTCTTGGTAACTGATAGCATCAGTTTCCCCTCATCTGTAGGACCACATCTTTGCATGGCAGAGACAGAAACCACTGTATGTGCTCCTATCTCTGTGTCCAAGGGCTTCTGGTGTGTCCTTGGGTTTATCAGAGCCAACAGCTTAGTTTAGGTCGCCTGGGTCAAGGTGGCAGCCAGCGGGAGCGGAGCTGAGCTCCAGGTGGAGGTTACCTTGTAAACAGCAGTTAGCCCAGCAGTGAGTGCCTTACATCCTACCTGTGCTCCAGCATCCAGTCAGTTAAGTAATATTTGTCGAGTACCTCCAAGAGCGGCTGAGATGGATTTGGCCCTGTCCTTGTAGGGAAAGTGGATGTTGAGTAATTACAAAACAGTTCATTATAATTCATTAATTCAACAAGTATTTGTTTAGTGTCTATATTTGTGCTAAGAGCTCTTCACTTATTGAGGATATCGGTAACCAGACAGACGAGGAACCCTGTCTTCATGAAGCTCATGTTTGAACGACACGTACAATAAGTTAAAATAGAGCAAATAGGGGCGCCTGGGTGGCTCGGTTGGTTGAGCGTCCACCTCTTGATTTCGGCTCAGGTCGTGATCTCACAATTCAGGAGTTTGAGCCCCACATGCTTTGGATTCTCTTTCCCTCTCGCTCTGTCCCTCCCCTGCTCACTTGCTCTTTGTCTCTCTGTCTCTCTCTGTCTCTCTCTCTCAAAATAAATAAACTTTAAGAAATGAGTCAAATATAACAAGTAAATTTTGTGGCGTAAGGGAGGAATACTTTTCCTCTCTTCCTTTTCAGATTCTTCGCTGGTCTAATAATTTAAATGGACATAAAACAGATTAAGAAGAGAAAATGTTAACTATGTACGGGAGCCCCAAAGATACGGGGCTCGAAGAAGCGACCAAAGCAGGCAGCCTTTTCACCTTTTAGACAAAGAACCAATAAACTTGGGCAGAATTGAGGAGACAGGTTTGAGCTTGGTGTGCTGGATGAGTGAAGAAGTAACAGGGTTTGGTTACACAGCCTTCGAGCCTTGGATTTCCCGTCTCTGGTGATAAGGATGCCCTTCGTCCTCCTGGTCCAGGGAGGACATCTTCACATGGGAGACTCACCTCCTGCTTTTAGGGAGACAAAGAAGACTCAGATTATCCTTCTCGAACCTGATGTTTCTAAAGTAACTTCAGGGGCACGTGGGTGGCTCAGTCGGTTGAGCATCCGACTTGTGATTTCGGCTGAGGTCGTGATCTCACTGTTCGTGAGTTCAAGCCCCGCATCAGGGTCTGTGCTGACAGTGTGGAGCCTGCTTGGGATTCTCTCTCTCTCTTTCTCTCTCTCTCTCTCTCTCTCTCTCTCTGCCTGCCCCTCCTCCCCTAAAAGAAAGAAATAAACTTTAAAAAAAAAAAAGTGACCTTAATTAAAAATAACAAGTATGCCAAAGCGTTGTATTTGGGGGTGGCAGGTGTTAAGTGCCATGGGAAACCAGTGGGTAAAGATGGCTGGAAGTATGACAGGCTGGGCTGGAGGGGGTATCTGCTTGCAGAGGGAGAGGCAGGAAATGAAGATTCTGGATAGGCTGGAATTACAAATACCGGGCAGGTTATGACTGAGGGTTGCGGGGCTGAGGGGAGAGAAAAGGTGGGGGGAGGCTCATCTGTGTGTGTGTATTGAAATGACTGAGAAGGCTGGAGTCATGTAGGAGAGAGGGATGAGGCCTAGGAGCTAAAATCATGGAGAAGTGACCGAGTGACACGGGGGTTGCTGATTGGCTGCGCTGAGGGGTGGTGGACTGGGAGGGGTAGGGGGTAGGGTGGACGGGGAGGGATAGGGTGGTGGCTGGGGAGGGGGAGGAGGGAGGGGTGGATAGGGAGGGGGAGAGGGTAGGGGGGTGGCTGGGGAGGGGGAGGGGGGAGGGGTGGATAGGGAGGGGGAGAGGGTAGGGGGGTGGATGGGGAGGGGTAGCGTGGTGGGTGGGGCGGGGTAGAGCGGTGGACTGGGAGGGGTAGCGGATGGCAGCCGGAAGAGGAGAGATTGAAAGCTGGGGAGTTTTGGGGGGAGGGGAAAGGTGTCTGGAGGGGCAGCGAGGAAAACAGTGGTCCGGCCGGGTGCAGTGCTCGGAGGGGGAGTTACAGGGCGGGCAGTCGGGGTCTGGGGGCTGCTGTGATACAGTATTTTATGATAAATATGTATTTGGTCTTCTTCCCATCCCTGGCACAGAGCTCCTAAAACCTTTGGAACTTCCCCGAGCCGAGAGCCAGAAAGGTGTCTTTTGTTATGTTAACGAGGCGGCTTTTGGAAAGGTCCTGGGGAAGGCAGCTGGCGGGGAGGGGGAGGGGGGTGAGCCAGCCCTGTGGGGACGCGGTTGGAACTTTCAGTCCCCGCCCCCTTCGAGGAGTAGACCTGGCTGGAGTCTGCATCAGCTGGCAGTAGCCAGTGATGTCATCAACTATGCCTACGTAATGAAGCCTCCATGAAACTCCAAAAGGGTGGCTGGGAGGGCTGCTGGGTTGGTGAACACATGGAGATTTGGGGATTGTGGTGCACCCCGAGGGCACGGAGACTCTGCACCTCGTCCCCACAACGTGCCTCGTGAGTCATTTCCATCTGGCTGTTCCTGAGTGACATCCTCCCAGAACGAGCTGGTGATCTAGTGAGTACAGAGTTTCTCTGAGTGCTGTGAGCCGCTCTAGCAGATTGATGAGCCCAAGAAGGGGGTGTGGGAACCTCCTAGGTACAGCCGGTAAGTCAGGAGCACAGGTGACAGCCTGGAGTTGCCGTTGGCGGCAGAAGTAGGAGCGAGTGGGCGGTCACGTGGGCTGAGCCCTTCCCCTGTGGGGTCTGAGACTGCAGGTAGACCGTGTCAGAACTGAGGTGGATTGTAGGACACCCAGCTGGTTGTCTCAGAGAACTGCTCGGTGGTGGTGGTGGTGGTGGGGGAACCACACATTAGGCAGCATCTTAGCTTGCCTGAGGAAGTGCCATTTGAGACGGTGGCAGGTGGGAAGGTGTGGTCCAGGGACGGCCAAAGGGAGTAGGTACTTTCAGGGCCGCACTCAGAAGGAGGCCTGCCTCACGTTGGCCCCGGGAGTGGTGGTGGGTTGCATGGAGCTTGGGAGAAAAGGAGGTTTCCCAGGGTATTTGTTTAGTGCTGTGGGAAGAAGAGATCTGTTTTGGTATTGGGAGGCTGCAGAGAGACCCTGGGGGGCCCAAGGGAGGTTTTCTGTAGCCACCCAGGAGGCGGGCTATTGAAACAACAGGTGAGCCCCACCTTACTGATCTGGTGGTTGGTTGACCAACATGGTCCAGACGGGCCTCAAAGGCACCTTTCGGGTCTGTGAGCCCTTGGTCAGGAACTGGAGCTCAGACAGAATTTTCTGGACTCTCTGCTGCCTACTGGGACTTGGGGAAGGGCTGTGGGGATGCTGCAGGAAGGCAGCCTATGTGAGAGACAGATAAGGATGAGTCTGTTTGCTCAGGGACCTGCCGAGTTCCTCAAGAGCGTCTCAGCCTGACCGTGGTGGTGGGGAGAGGGGAGAGTGGCCGGGCCATCTAGGGAGGGGGTCAGTGGAGCACGGGTGTGGGACATCACTGGGAACACGCAGAATAGACTGGCATGAAGGGTGCCTGAAGCCCTGTGTGTTGGGCTCAGGCAGTTTAGGTGACTGTCACTTAATGACTATGGCATTGGGCAGGTTACTGTATCGTGCCCCCCTTTCTGTTTTCCTCTGTAAAATGAGCAGTCAGATGCTGATTTCTCAAGGTTGGTGGGAAAATCAGGTGAGCTATGACGTCAGTGCCCAGCAGGATCAAGGCACACAGTGGGAGACGGCACCTGCTAAAGCCTCCGGAAGTACCTCCAGGAGGTTCTGCTGAGACGGGAGGGGAGGATTGAGGCATTGCTGTGTGACCATGGAAAGGTATTTCCACCTGAAAAAACACACAGAGGAGGCGTGAATTTCACTCGAGATGTGAATGTGCACACAAACCCGCGCATCTGAGAATGCAAGCTTGATGCAGAGCACTTGGAGAAGATAAAAATGAAGTGGGGAGAAGTCTACACACAGCCATCTGGCCCTTTGGAGGAGACGGGCGACGTGTCCTTGGTGCAAGGGAACAGGCACGGGCTGTTCTGGGGCCATACTCTGGGCCGCACACACGGGCCCCAGCTGGCTGGCACCTGCCGGCTGCCTCATTCTGCTAAAAGCCGAGCATCAGACCTTTTCTGAAAGAGAGAAGAAACCAGAGAAGACCCAGTTCTGTAGTCCCACATTGGGTGGGTTATAACCTGGAGCCCACACGCAGCAACCAGAGCATTCCACAGAGTGACGGGGGACACGGCATGCTTCTGTTAGGCATTTATTTCTGTCTGTTGCAGACCTACCGGGACTCTGGACGTTTTCCTTCCAAACCTGAAGAAGTAGGACGTATTTGCTGGGTGCTTGCTCCTGTCCTCTCTTGTTCTCTCTTTCTCTCTCTCTCCTCTGCTCTCTCTTCTTCTTCTTTTTTTTTTTAATGTTTATTTTTGAGAGAGAGAGAGAGAGGGGGGGGCAGAGAGAGAGAGACAGAATCCCAAGCAGGCTCCAGGCTCTGAGCTGTCAGCACAGAGCCCGATGCGGGGCTTGAACCCACAAACCACGAGATCATGACCTGAGCTGAAGTCAGACACTCAACCGACTGAGCCACCCAGGCGGCCCTCTCTCTCCTTTGTCGAGACACATTTACTGCTGCCAGGTTCTGGCTGTGACACGGCACAGAAGATGTGGTCAGTGGCCATCGAGCTCACACTGGCAGAGTTGTGCTTTCAGGCCAGGCGGGGCACATTGGAAGAGGTCACACTGGGGATTAGGGAGGAGGTTGCCGGTAGGGAAGCCATATGCTGGGCCTCCAGCCCCGGAGCTGGGGCGGTCGATGCGTCTCGGGCCCACGTGTGTGCGCGTGCCTGGGAGGAGAGCGTTACCTGCCAGGTCTGCTGTAGAGAGAGTTTCCACTGCTGTCCAGCAAGGACCTGCCTTCCTACCCTGTGGAAGTGCCAGGATCCCGCCAGCTGGCAGCTCGTCCCCCGGGCCCTCTGCTACTTGAGTTCACTCAAAGCTCCTGGCTTCAACTTTGAGCTCTTCCTCTGTCAAGGCCCTGCGGGGCCTTTGGAAATGAAGACCGATCCCTGCTCAAGGGGGCTCCTCCCCCAGTCTGGGGGGTATGGCCCACGACTAGGTCCCCCCCAAACGAGAAAGAGTGGGAGGGTGCAGAGAGCTGGGCTCCAGGGAGAGAATGCGGTCTGGTGGTGGAACCAGGTGCTTCAGATGGAAGAGGGGACTGGTTTGCACTTTGCCTTGACGGATGAGAGGATTCTGACCGGTGGGGGGGTGGACACACACGAGAGGCATCGCCTGAAGGCACAGGGACTTCTGTCAAGTCTGCAGGTTGGGTACAGGGATCGACGGGGAGGAGACCACAAAGTCAGGTGGAGACAAAGGCTGGTGAGGATTCGAATTCCAGCTCCGGGGGCTGCCTTCAGAGCCCGTTGGTGAATAGCTGGACAGGGTGGACGCCTGTGGTTGGTTTGAATGGGATGCGGCCGACACGGCGTAGTACAAGGGGATCCGGCACAAAAACGGCTGCCTTCATTCGTGGGTCATTGTTTGAGGTCTACAAGGGCTAACTTTCCGTGGACCGCGGCCTCTCGCTCCTTCCGAGCCCGCATATGCCTCGTGTTGTAAGGCACTGTGGGCGCAGACTATTTCTGTGCTCCTTCAAACGCCCGTGTTTATTTTTAAACTCGGGCCTTTGTGAAACAGGGATGTATCCTGCGGGCTTTGCTTTTGAGTAAAAAGGTTCTCTTGGACTGATGGAACCAGCAAAAGATGTGCTCGATTTAAAGCTGTCCATTCTTTTCATTTAACGCCTCCACGCATGCATCCGGCATTAGAGGGAAGGCCACCGAGGCACTTTGCTTGTTTAAAAGAAAAAATCCTGGAAAGAGGAAACTCGCATGCCGTTTCCCACTTCCTCCACATGCACCGGCAGATCTGCGCCTTGAGCAGCGGAGCTCGGACAGGGAGGGCCCGCAGGAGTCGGAGGTCGGACAAGGTGGGCTGTGAGTCTGAACCCTGCTGTACCGCCCCCCCCCCGCCCTCCCCACTCAGCTCCCACCAAGAGGAGTCAAGGACGAGGGGCTTAGAATAGAATGTCTGTTATCTCTTCAGCATATGCAAGTTGTAACTGAAAAATTAACGAGAGTAACTCAGCGTCCAGGATGGGAGATTCAGCACACACGACTTCCCTCCGCCTTCCCTCCGCAGAGCCCATTAAAATGATAATAAAACGATTACTAGCAGCATAATCCTACGGCAGGGAACTGCAGGGAATTAGCAGGAGCTGAGAGATTGCAGCACATTTCCAGATGATAGAAAGCAGGCAGGGGAATGGTAATGCCAACGGTGTGTCAGAGGAGCCTGGGCGGGGGCTGGGGGTGGGGTGGGGGTGGGGGTGGCCAGTCCGCCCTGCAGACTCCAGAGGGCCTCTTGACCAAGCCCACAGGTCCAGCCCAGGGCAGGAATGGGAAGTCGTGCTAAAAGCTGGAACTTTAACACTTTTTTTTAAATGTTTATTTTTTGTGGGGCGCCTGGGTGGCGCAGTCGGTTAAGTGTCCCGACTTCAGCCAGGTCACGATCTCGCGGTCCGGGAGTTCGAGCCCCGCGTCGGGCTCTGGGCTGATGGCTCAGAGCCTGGAGCCTGTTTCCGATTCTGTGTCTCCCTCTCTCTCTGCCCCTCCCCCGTTCATGCTCTGTCTCTCTCTGTCCCAAAAATAAATAAACGTTGATAAATGTTTATTTTTCGAGAGAGAGAGAGCGCAAGCAGGGGAGGTTCAGAGAGGGAGGGAGACACAGAATCCGAAGCAGGCTCCAGGCTCCGAGCTGTCAGCGTGGAGCCCGATGTGGGACTTGAACTCATGAACCCTGAGATCATGACCTGAGCTAAAGTCAGATGCTCAACGGACTGAGCCACCCAGGCAGCCCTGGAACTTTCCTCGGCACTCCTACAGACACTGTGTTTAGTAGGAGAGAATGAGGACGAGCGAACTTACTGGCAGAGTCCAGGCTGGGGGTGCGGGCTGGTTGGTGTTGTGGGAGTGAAGTCTGCGCTGGTCTGGCGTGGCCCCGGGGCGGGTGGATGGTGTTCCAAGCCGTGGTACTAGGGGTGACCAGCTGGGGCGAGCATGTGGAGTGCCAGAGCATCAAGGAGTCAGGAGTCAGGAAGAGCCAGCGAAATAAACTTCTCATCAGATAGAACGGAGGCAGGATACTAGTAAGGCTCTGAGCGAAAAGCATTTGTTAACTATTGAAAACAAAAATTTCATATCCAGTGTGGTCTACTGAAAAACGCCCCCCCGCCCCCCGCCCCCGGTAGATATTCCATCCCAGTCTCTGCAACCTGTAGATGTGACCATGTATGATAAAAGGGTCTTTGCGGATTGGATTAAAGTAGGGTTTGGAGATGCTAAGCTGAGGGCTTTGAGCCTGGAGGAGGGTGGACATTGGTTCTTCCCCAGAGCCTCTGTGGGGCGCACGGCCCTCCTGGCATTGCAGTTGTAGCCCGGAGACATTGACTGCGGCCTTCTGACCTCTTCACTGTGAGAAAATAGGGTCCTGT